TTGCCCATTTTTCATGGAATTTCAGACATCAATATTTAGTTTGATTCTTGCAAAGATTGTTAATGCCACTAGTGTGAAAATCACTGATAGGTCGGATATAATTATCCTTGACTTTCAAACGGTGGAGTCGTGTATTTCTGCATATTTTATTATTCGTGTCAATTACATTGTGTTTTGTGTGTATGTACCAAATGAATTGATTGACACAGTGCTAATCATTTATTCCACCTGCAAATCATTAATGTAATTGACTATGTTGTCGATCAATCTACATATCTAACCATCTTTAATGTAGAAAAGAATATTGTGCCTTTATCTACTCTTATTTAACCATCATTTATCTATCGTACATAATTTGTTAAATATCACCTTTGGTGAAGGGTTCCGCACAGAGGTCTAGGCCTGGCAAAGACAATAAATATGTGATTGAATTTACCCATAGTGAAATACAAAACGGTTATGTGATTTGAAATAAGCAATAGTCTAGATTGTGATCGTCATCATCATCGTCAGCAGCATCTCAACTTGAATCATAATTATAATCAAATTCCAAATTAGAAAATTTCATTAATTAACAAGTAAATTAGAAATAAGCGTGACAATAATACATTTAATAAATAAATAATTTCTGATATTGTTTTTAATTGTTGCTTAGCGGATATAAACACACAGTTTTATCGTGCAAAAGGTAACTTGTAAAATGTACTTTGGGAAAAGGGCGACACGCGGCTTCCTATCCTACCTGCTCTATGTAGGGCTCGACTCTTTTTTTTCTAATGAACTGGTCAATGTTAGGTTAATAACTGTAGTCAAAACATAATGGGTTCTACTTACCTTTTCAAACGTTTCGAAACACACCTTCCATTAATGTACCACTGCAAAAATAAAATCATTATATGTTTGTATAATCCAAATGGCAAACGTTTATATTTTCCACATGTAGGTACCCAATATGACTGACTTACATACAAGTAAATATGTATTTCACATTGAATAACTGTAAAATACCCAGGTGAATTTGATATGTTTGGTTTTACTTTCGATCACATTTAATAATATTATTCGAGGTTAGATTGAATAGATACTGATATAAATTACCTTATTTACTCCACATATGGTTCCTCTTGCTGCACTTATATATCTCCCCTTTTTTCCCGTTACAGGGTCCATACATATCAATAGATAACAAAGGTCTTCAGACACATCCTTAAAAAACGTAAATTGCCACATAGCTCAATTTTGATTAGGTCACTTAATAAACCAACCACCATCAACCAATAATTTAATTTAAGTAAGGTGCTCCTATTTAACATATTACCATGGATATATTACCTTAGAACCGAGTTTGAATTTCCGATGATGTCAATCATATTTCTATGGTTTTCCATTACATGTGGCTCAGTGGACAAATCTTAACTTGCCACTGCGTCGATGATCTATGAAATCACTCACAGTGGTGGAGAAGCTGTTAGAGAATCACAAAAACCATAACGCTAATTAAGTCAATTGCATTTTATTTCCGCATTCATTTACAATTTTAATAAACCTAATATCTTAGTATACGATCATGAACATCCACACTATCATATTTATATTAAACTGAAATTTGGTCTTTAAAGAAACCCTACAATTAACATTCGTTACCTTTACTAACTTTAAATAGTTGGATTCCAATTCAACTTGATTTAGGTGATGTGTCATTAACTCCTTCAGAATCGACCTAACACAGTTTTATATCTGTATACAACTGGCTCGTTAGGGCAACTATGTGGTGCATTGTTCGAGAAATCGTTAGGGAATAAATATTACAAAGCAAATTTAATTTTTTTAAATATAAGACTATAAATATCTGAGTTATCAAACTGAATATAAAGTTTGTGTCTTGTCACATTCTACAATCTAGGAACTTGCCATCATAAAGGATGGTCAATAGATAAATACAAAAGCTTACATTTGCCTGCAACTTACATTCAGGCAGTTGGAAATCATTATATCATAACAAATATTCAATGAGTACTCCAACAAGCTGAAGTTGCAATTCACCATGTGTTATTTCTTTACAATAAAGCCGTGTTGAAGATGTTTGAAAGCTAAGTTGAATCATAAAGGACAGATCATCAGCATGCAACATTTCACCCCTTTTTTATCGAATTTGCATGGGTAAAAAAATATTTCCGTCATAATATATTTTCATTGCTTGTAATGATATATTTTCTTCCATTTATATTATAGAAGTAATGATTTTATTGCATCAATTTAATGGTGCTTTGTAAAAAGCTTCTTGCATGCTTATTGTTAGTATTCTTGGATACATTTCTTCCTCTACCACAAGGTGTTGTTTACATCTAAGAAATTCAATCAATGTTTCTTTACGGTCTTGTTTGAAACGTAAAATCTGACTTTAAATAAATCAATTTTAAGTTAAATAAATACTTGAAATAATTAAGTATTACTATTTTTTGTAAGGGTGAAACAAATTCTATACAATTCGAGTTTTTATGTTTTCAACTGTACGTTTAGAAAAACAGACTAATAATATAAACAAAGACCTTTTCAAAGGATTCTCTCTGAACAATAGCATCCTTACCAGCGAGATTAAGTAGTTACGTAAAAACCCAGGTTAGGTAATGATAACTTCGATGACACAGTGTTCTCACTTCGTATGAATTAATATTCTTAATAGTTATCATTGTGTGTGTTTGTTTGATTTGGAATTTAGACGTAACTTAAACATTTTTGTCCAGTCATATCACTATATCTGCATTGTGGCAGTTAATAGGATGTCAAATACTAGAGCATCATGTCACAAACGTTTAGCATGTTGTATAGTCGAGTTATGTTGTCCTGACACCAGGCACACCTGTGTCAACAATAACTCTTAATGATGTGCTTCAAGCGAGTCATACGTTAGTATCATTTCCAAACGTATTTGGCGTGGCTTGACCGGTGCTCGAACCAGTGATATTTTTATCCCAGGCGGACTCTCTAACGACTATGCCAACGGATAATTCATTAATTAGATATTATTATAAAGTCGTGGGGGTTCTACCACGGGAAAGCAAATGGCCTTGAACTGCAACAAGGTATTTAAAAAAATAGAACTTTTTATCACATAATTCTTTATACCTATTTGACTTATTATTCTAGTGAAATTAAAGCTATAACAAAATCTTTCAGACAGCTCCCATTTTTCAGGAATGGCTTTGGATGAGGCAAATGTTATAGAATGAAGTAGGTAAATTAGTTTTAGAACAAATTTAAAAACAAGGTCTCTAATTGAAATAAAACATGCTTGTTTTATTACAAATTCAGTCTTTTATGATCGATGCGTAATATTTTATACTTTATGTGTATCGAGTTATGTTGAATTCCTTGGAAATAAAATTTAGGCTTTCATTGCAAATATTTCTCGCAAGATTTTAACACAATCATGTTTTCATTTTTAATAATACCTAATATTATCATTGTCAGAAGATTGGAGCTGATTTTCTAATGTCAGTAACTTAAATATGCCTGTTGTTTTGGCGGATGAAGGTATACAATTTTGGACTCTCCTTCTCCTATTTCTTATGTATGGTCGTTTTGAAAACAAATTACAAAATAGTCCGTCACTCGAGCTACAAACATTCTCACATGTTGTGAATTTGATAATGTATCATTGTAAAATGAAAGAAATGTCTCTTTTTCATTAGCGCATTTTATGTCATTTTCTTTTATTAACACGGCTCCTATGGCCTAGTGAATAGCGCATTTGTCTAGGATGCGGCAGGTGGGGGTTTTTATTCCAGGCGATTCATTCCAAAGATTCAAAAAATGGTACTAACTTCCTCTTCGCTTGGCGCTAATTATTACGAGATTGCTGTTAGGATTGTTCGGCCTGGTGTCACGCTAATAAGATTCGTTGTGGGACATCATGGCAGATGTCTGAATAATGATAACCCCCTGCTAGACATCACAATAAACAGCCAGAATACAGGCATCTTAGCGATATGAATGAAGCCTTTTTAACGCTACGTTAAAAATCTACATCACACACACACACACACTTTACTAACGCAAGCTGTTTAAAGCAAAATAGAACAGAGTCAAATGTATTGAAAGCGTAAAAATATACCTCTATTAATATATGATTAAAACAAAATGTATTCCAATTACACAAATTTATCTTTGCGTCAAATCGCACCTGACTCTATTGTAGTTGGAAATGACAGGCTTCAGTAGTTTCGGGTTAGAAAAGGACTACCACTTGGTAAATCATAATATCCTCTCTATTTATTTCACCAGTAGGAAATAATACATCCACTATATGCATTTAAACCACTACTAAGGATACATATATTATATGTATTTAACAAACTGTCATTTATATAACTAATTTAATTAGTTAACTTCATGAAAATAATATATATATATATATATATATATATATATATATATATATATATATATATATATATATATATGCGTGTGTGTGTGTGTGTTTGTGTGTGTGTGCGTGTATGCAATTATGTATTAACCCAAAATATATGTTTAAGTTACGATTAATAATATATCTACTCTACGCATATAACCCACTGGTTATAATTCTACGCATTTAGCGAATTGGTAGTAATAAATCTACCCCATGTATTTAGTCCACTACTAAATATATATTAGTCAACTCTACATAGGTATTACACTGGTAATAACATATCTACTCTCTATATCAAAAACAATGGAACTAACAAATCTACTCTATGCATTAGCTCATTGATACTGTGTGTGTGTGTTTATGATTTTAACGTAGCTTTTAACAATTTTTCAGTCATATCACTACGATGTCTGCAGTGTAGCAGTTTATAGTGATGTCTAGCACTGGGGCATCATGCCGCAGACATATAGCATGATGTCCCACCCAGTCACATTATCCTGACACCAGGCCGACCAGTCCTAACACTAACCTCTTAATGCTGAGCGTCAAGCGAGGCAGCTGTTAGTACCATTTTTGTAAGTCTTTGGTATGACTCGACCGGGGATCGAACCCACGACCTCCCGCATCCGAGGCGGACGCTCTAACCACTAGGCCACCGGAGCGGTCTCATTGATACTAATAATATATTTACTATAGGTAACTATAACACACTAGAAATAATATATCTACTCTATGTGTTAACCCATTGGTAATACTATATCACTTCCATGTAATTAGTCCAAATTAACAATAATATATCTACTCTACATATTTAACCTACTCGTTATAATATATTTAATCTATGAATTGGACATACAAAAGTACATCTGCTTTTGTATTTAACCCACTATTTATATCCATATTTTTATATATCTATACTATGTATTTAGTCCTCTAGAACCAAAATATCTACTCTATCTATACAACTACTATATATATATATATATATATATTTAAAACGCTTGTCATACAATATGTACTATGTAACTTGAACTCAATGGAAAAACATCTCTACTCTGTGCATTTAATCCAATGGTAAAAATATATCTACTCTATCTATTCGATCTCTGTTAATATTATATCTCCTATATGTATTTATTCCATTGGCAACACAGTATCTCCTTTTTGTAATTAGCCTACTAGTAACGACATATTCACTCTACAAAATTATCCTCTGATACTAATATATCTGACTTATGTATTAAACCTACAATGCATTTTTCACACTAGTAATGATATATCTACTATAGATATTGAACCCACTGGTGATAATATATCTATCCTATGTACTAAAGCAACTGAAAATAATGAATCAACAGTATGGATTTCAACGACTGTAACTAATCTAAAAATTCAACAGAGAAAAGCCCACAGGTAATAATAATATATCCAATCTACCTATTTAATATACCGTTATGTAGCTACAATAAGCATTAACCCAACTGGTACTAATACATATACTCCATGTATTTTACGCACTTCTATATATATATATATATATATATATATATATATATATATATATATATATATATATATATATATATATATATATATATATATATATATATATATATATATATATATATATATATAGAAGTGCGTAAAATACATGGAGTATATGTATTAGTACCAGTGTATATATATATATATATATATATATATATATATATATATATATATATATATATATATATATATATATATATATATATATATATATATATATATATAGTGTGTTTAATCCACGCGTAATAATATATTTACTTACGTATATAACACACTATGGTAATAATATATGAATGCTATGCATTTAACCCAATGTTACCAATATATCTAATCTATGTTTTTAACCAACTTGCAAGAATATATCTCTACCACGTATTTATCCCACAGTTAATTATTAATATAAGGTGTATGGGGTGTCAAGGGAGGGGTAGCACCTCTGGTCGGGGAAGCAGTCGTACTCCTTTGGGGGTAACTTGCACACTTTTGGTCCCCTCTTGGCACTCAACTCTCACTTGTGACTCCAAGAAGCTGTGACATGCGCAGCGGCCACACCCCAGAAACAGCCTCAACTGGCCGGCTAAACCAGGTTGAGGGTAGCCGATGGGTCTCAAAACTTCTGTGAGTTAGGCATTGTCTACTTAGCATGTGAAGGCTGGTTTCGGCAGCCTGCGCGTAGGAACCACCAGTTGGTCAACGGGCAGAAAGGCGACTCCCACCAAAGCGCCGTGGAGCGCTAAGAGCACAACGAGACACGAAGGACGTCCGGGTCATCCACTGTACTCAACTCCGTCTCATGCCGTCTCGACGTTGTCAATTTTTGGACCCAGATGGTTTTGGGCGAGAGAGTGAGGTCGACGAACTGCGCAAAGAATGTAATTTATCTCATCACATGTAAGATCTGTGGCCTTCAGTACGTCGGAGAAACTGAAAAGCTACACAAAAGGATAAACCTTCATATGTCTGATTGGATGACAAAAAAGCTGTACAGAAGCCCGGTCGCATAACACTTCTCCTGTTCTGGCCACACTTTCAGTGATATAATACTTATCGCTATTGCTAACAACCACAGCTGGAGTTCCGAAACCAGGAAGGAAAAGGAATCATACTGGATACGCCGCCTTAGAACATTGAAACCAAGCGGTCTAAACCAAGAAGACTAGAAAATGAAAACTATGCACTAGGGGAATTTAACATTTTCTTAATCTTCTTATTATCCTTCAATTTTTACTATAACAATAACCGGTATAGAATCAAATATCCGGGATATGCGTTACATATGTACAAAAAGTAAAAATAGATGTCGCTTTGACTGGTAGACTTTTAGGGAATTATACAACGTTTTCAGTTTCCGCAACTAGTCTATACAAGCTGGTTGTATTTATAGTTTTAGCATATGTGAAGACAGCCATGTAGAGGTTTGTTTATTTGTTTGGCGTATATATGTTTTGTATTTGCCTTTGAAAAAGACTCATTAAGAGTCGAAAGCGTTTAGGCTAGTTAGTTATTGGTTTTGTACTGTTCGTCCTCAGTTTATTGCACACACACACATATATATATATATATATATATATATATATATATATATATATATATATATATATATATATATATATAAGCTCCATATTTAACTCAGTGATAATAACACATAAACGTTATGTATTTAACCTACATGGTAATAAAATATCTACTCTATGCCTTTCACGCAATAGTAAATATAGAACATCTTTATGTATTTAACCCACTGGTAAGAATATATTTCCACCATGTATTTATCTCAGTGTTAATTATCTATATACTCTAATTATTTAACCCATTTAAATTAACATATCTAGGCTACATATTTAACTTGGTGATAATAACATATATAGTTTTATGTATTAAATCAACTGGTAATAAAATGTATACGCTATGCCGTTCACTCATTGGTAATTATATAACATCTTTATGTATTTAACCCACTGATAAAAAGCTATCTACTCTTAATGTTTTCCTTCTTTTATTAAATCTTTTTATTTAACCCACTGAAAATAATACATTTACTCTTCTTTTTAACCCATTGGCAATAATAATAATAATAATAATAATAATAATAATAATAATAATAATAATAATAATAATAATAATAATAATAATAATAATAATAATATTAATAATAATAATATTAATAATAATAATAATATATACTCTAATTATTTTACCATCCGGTAGTGACATCTACCCTATTAGTTTAACACATTAGTAATCAAGTATTTACTCTTTGCATATTACCAAATGAAAACATCTTATCTAATATGTGTTCTATTGGGTGATCTATTTCCATTCTACATTTTTTAACACAAGAGTAATACAATATCTTATCTACATATAACCCACGAGTTATAATAATATCTAAGCTATATATTTAATCAACTCTTAATAATATATCTACTCTGTGGCTTTAGTCCCATGATCATAATATACATGTATGCTCAAAGTATTTAAACCAATAATAATAATAATAATAATAATAATAATAATAATAATAATAATAATAATAATAATAATAATAATAATAATAATAATAATAATAATAATAATAAATCTACTGCAATGAATTTAAACCACTGGTGATAATAAATCCATTCTCTGTATTTAACGCGCTGGTAATAGTATTTGTATTGTACCTTTCTAACCCACTGGAAGGAATAAACTACTACAAATTTGTATTCTCTATGTGCTTTATTGACTATATATATATATATATATATATATATATATATATATATATATATATATATATATATATATATATATATATATATATATATATATATATATGGGATATTACCATTGCATCGAAGTACAAACAATAATCAAAACATCTTATTATTCCTTGAAACGTGGCAATATTACAAAATACTATACTCCAACTATATTACATTATTAATCTAATCAATCGTTCGTATTACGTAGAACGCCACTCTGCAATGGAAATCCAATTTACTAGAAAACCATGCTTTTCTTTGAGCATATCGTTCATTTCTGACAATTGTTAAAATCCAGCAATTTATTTATAAATGCATGCAATACAACAATATATCACTTATGTCCCATACAAACCTTCACTCAGCTTATCATCTCTTTTGTAGCTGATAAATGAATATTTGCTATCGAATCAACAGACTAAAATATTTAGTGCAAATGTTTCTTGGACTTTTGGTGGTACAGCTAAATGTTTGTGTTATCTTCCGCAAAGTGACAGGCTAAACTTATGTTCCATTTAATTTTCAATTCTTGTTTATTGTAGATTTTCATTGAAAACACGTTAAATTTATCAGTGAATATCAACTATGCAGGTGACATGAAGATAATAATATTTTTATTCTTAAGGACAACATTACGACTCAACTGCTTATAGGCATGGTGGGATTTCATATAACTCTTTGGTTATGGACCTATAGTCTTAAAACTCACAGAACGGCAAGCGCCAGTGTAACAAATATTTTCTTATCATCTGTTCATTGACATGATTTGGCCGTGCTATGTAAAACATAACGTAAGAGATTTGCAATAAAAAGAAAACAATTGAAGCCTCATAAAACTTTCTCGACAAAGTTCACTAGAAATGTACAATCAATGCTAATTCAAGTACAGCTAAATCAGTACAGGGCTGAACATCTAAAGAAAATCCACCAAACTTTAATATTGGCAGATAAAAAAGTTCCATTAAATATTTCCATTTTCTTGTGGCAATTACATAGTTATTGATGAGTACAGCTGCGCGTTTGCTATAGCGGTTGTATTACGCTGAACCGCATCTGCATCAAAGATGGTTCTGAAAACTGCGATAGGATTTAACATGATTAATTTGGCAGAGGTCAACGAGTAATTTGAAACCTTAGACTTCGGTGTATCGAATTCCTTTATCAAATACTATGTGAAGTTACCTCACAACCATCCATATTACGTCATTTGCCGTATTTCAAGGACTAATGACAAATGAAAGGACAGAAAACATCATAGCAAAGGTCGAATTGTTTTATTTTTTTTACACGAAGAGAAACCTAAACCTCATTCCAGAAATGTTCAAGAGGCTCGATTGTATATACTAACCTATCCTGTTATAGTGATCATTGGGA